TATATATTTATTGCAACTGATTGCTTTTATTTTTACTACTTTAGAAATGATTGGATATAGATTTCAAAACTCTACCGAAGAGGAATTTGAAACCATGAATAAGAACGAAGACAAAACATGCGAAGACAAAATATGAAAGATCCAAAAAATCAATTAAAATATAAGTTTGCCTTTCCTTGTACATATATTTAATGTTATACTTTCTTTTTGTATTATTGAATAAGAAATATATAATAATGTTTATACTGTACCTATATATTTTGTATTATTTCAGACATTCAACTTTAAGATTTGTTTAGAAATTCGACTCAGAGGTCGGAGTTGTGTAATTCCTTATTTAATGAGCAGCCGAAAAGATCAGTAAGTTCTCAGTACTTAACAGTATTTTTGATATTTTTGAAACAAGCAAGTGACAAATTTCTAATTTTTATTTGTTTTTTTCAATTTGTTTGACAAATTCGACTTTCTTGGTAGGGATATATTTATACAGAGCATTTTTAATTTTTCTAAGTCAATGGATATAGAGATATGCATATTTTTATCAATATGATAAATATTATTGATTATAACCTATTACTGATGTATTATTGTTAACAAAAAATTGCTAATGTTCGTAAGAAAAAACTTCTTCATTAATTGATAAGTAAATATTAAAAAATCATTTCTATGTATACTCTCCGATGAATGAAATGGTTTTTTATTGCGAACATTATCTATTTTCTGCTATATTATTTTGGCAATAAATCAGTTAATAAGTTATAATAAAATAGAAAGTTTAATGGACAATAAGTTTTGAAACATAGGTACAATATAATTTTACCAATATTGTATTGACGTAAAATTAACAATATTGCTAATAAATCTCAAATTAGTACTTTCTTGAACGTTACATTAGCAACGTTTCAATAATATTGTAAAATCTCCTCACGAGGTTGTGACAAGGTTTCAATAAACTTGCATCAACATTTTTTTCAACCTTGCACTGCAATGTTATTTGGCAGAAGATTACGCTAACCTGCCACCTTGCATAAACCTCCCTACAATGAAAAAAGCAATGTTACACCTTGCTTTGCGAAGTTTTGGCAATGTTCCAGCAATAAATTTTGCTTGTTGGGTTACTTTTTAATGATTTGGGTACTGCTGTCACTTTTCTCAACTGCTACAACCTTTGTGTCTAATTTCACCTGCTTAAAAGACATATTTTGATAAATAGATTCTTAGTAGTTCCCACGTTTTTCATTTAATGGACCTCTGTGTGTTAATTTAATACTTCTAGAACCATTACAATTTTTGTACAAATATTCAAAAGTTCACTTGTACAAAATTTCACCCCTAATTTCACCCTCTTAGGGGATGAATTTTAAAAATCGTTGATCTCACCCCTGATCTCATACCCTTAAAACGCGAATTTCTAAACGTCGCTCCTTAGTGCTCAATTACGTTAACTAAGGAACTTCTACGCAAAATTTTATACTTCTAAAACCCATTTTAACAAATTTTTGAGACAACTTTCACCCCTTATTTCACCCTCTTAGGAGGTGAGTTTCCAAAAAAATCGCCCTCTGGGGGAATTAAATTAGGAGGTTGAAATTTTATTTTTTGAATTTTTGAATTGAAATTATTGTAGTTATAAAATTTTTTAAATCTGTCCTAGAACTTGAAATTTTACACAGAGGTCCCTTAAGCGGCGCAATTTAATACTAAGAAGTGATTTTCGGAAATTCAACCTGTAAGGGGGCGAAACTACTGAAAATAGGGGTGGAAGTTTAACTATTTATAGTATTTATTATTTAGTTTATTGTATCGTACTTATACGTATACCTAATAGCACAGAATATCTAGCTACGCAACAGAAAAATACTCGAAATGAAAGAGCTAAAATTGCACAAATAGAATACTAGATGGCGCGACAATATCATAATCAGAATATAATTAGAAATTTTGAACTTTCGGTTTTGGATCGACGCGACGGCTCGTGGACGGCCTTATAGCTCGGCTAAATATGCACAGTTGCCAGATTCAAAAAGACTTAAATTGGCATCCCATTCTTTTTATTGTGTATAATACAGTATGTGTTTCTATTCTTCTTTTCTTGTCAGATACACTTATATTAATTATTCCTTTGGCTATTAAAATAGTTTTAAGTATATTATTACAAAACATATACATTTTTTATATACACTACCTTATAATGTTAACTAAGAAAATACCTTTAATTACCTTTAAAATTAATAACATACAGGGCGATTGACAGTGATATTTATTAATGCAGGAACGTTAGTAATGAAATATAAGTTTAATAATAATGGAAATAATTTATTAAAATGCAGTACAAAAATGTTAACTGACTAAAAAATACTATAATAACAAATTTCTTCCGTTTGCCACGTTATTGATATAGACCTAGGTAGATTTTAAAAGTGACACAGGTACAATTAATAATATATTAGTTGGGCATAAAAGTTGCTGTCACGGCATCGAACAATAAATTAAAATTCGTAAAATAAATTAAAATTATTAATTAAACAAATCTTTATAAAGAAACGCAAGTATACCAAATTTGGGGCCTAATCGAACTCCAGGAAATGATATCATAATAGTGTACTATATTATGGCACCACTCGATATACTTTAAGGTACCATAATATTGCAATGTCACCGAAGATCCGTAGTATACCAAGTTTAAGCCCTATTGCCGCCATGTACCTAATATTGCTATGTCATCAAATATGGTACTATAGAAGGTACCACTTTATATGCTTCATGGTACCATAATATTACAATGTCACTGAAGATATAGTATACCAAGTTTAAGCCCAATCGAACGCCATGTATCGTAATATAGTACTATATTATGGTATCACTTGATATGCTTCTGAAAAAAACGGCGTCCAGTTGGCTGGAAAAGGACGATCGATGACATTTCTCATATAAATTTACATATAAAATGACAGCGATATTCATTTCATAGCTATCGCTAACGCCGTTTTTTCCCGATTTTACGATATGAACTTGGTATGAACACAATCGAACGTCAGGAAGTGGTAGAACTATAATAATAGTAGAACAATACTTATTATATTGTCGCCGAATTACAATGAAAATTCAGGATTCAATTATACAATCAAACGTCAGGAAGTGATTGTAATTTAGCTCATAAGATTTAATTCCATCTAACATGGCAAACTGAAAAAAACAGCTCTGATCTATTTTAATATGTTTAAATGATGTAGCAAATTTGAAGGTAAGCTTTATCAGGAAGTATTACGATATGAATTACACAATGGCAACACTGCACAAAATTCTTTTAAATTTTGTTTGTAGAAAACTGTTTTCTTTTAAATTTATTGCCCTCTATTATTAAGTAGCGAAACTACCACATCAAAATATCTGATTTGGAGACAGACTTTTAAAGCCTGTCTCCTTTTGCCACCTACAATTTTATACATGTAACGAGGCTTCTGTTGCGTAGCTAGATATTCTGTGCTAATAGGCATAGAGTAGTAGGTATTGTATCGTAAATGTAATCAAATGGGAGTTCTATCAAAATATAATAGTCGTATTTGCCAAATACCCTAGATACTATTATTCGACAATACGACTTTGTGTTTTTATAGAATTCGCATTTGATAACATTTTTACAATGCCATACTATACATATTACGTATAAGTACGACCCATGATAAATGCTAAATACTATAAGTAGTAATAGTAATCAAAGTAGCTTATATTTTTCTTCGGCCGTGTAAGCACTAAACAGAACCCCATAATAAAACATTTTTATAATAAGAACTTAGGAAAATAATATCTAAAACCGGCATCTGATATATAACCTAACTAACTTTTCAAACTCAAATTTAAGGTTTTGTATTCACAATTTTAGCCACGCACATTGCTCAGTTAGAAAAAAACCCGTTTCTAAAAGCTAACTCTGGTAAAAATATGCCCAAATATTAACTTGGCTCTATAATTTATAACAAAATAGTTATTCTTGCCATAAGAAGCTGTGTATTTCTAGTATCCCTATCAGCACAAGCGCCCCTAACGGCGATTTTCGAACTTCATTTAGATCATGAAATCTGGGCCCAAAATTTTTGCGTTCGATTCGCCTCCTCCTTTTAGACTCCATAATTTCAAGACAGTCGCTACAAAAATGGTGGTTCATTACGGCCATCCGTCTTTCTTCTCTGTATAAATTGATTAAAATTAACAGTTACAATTCGTCTTATAAGATGAAAATACTGAAATTATAGATTTTAAAAGTGTCCATCCCAACTGCATGGAATTGTAGAGGTTTTTCTGTTGTGCGAAGACATGACTATTTCATAATGGCTACACAAAAGGATACTTTATACAAAAGATTAGCCATGTAACGATGACAAGGTTTTTTATATAGCCGGCTCTTAGACTATTATAGTGTGGCCATAATTGGGGCTATTTCGGCTATAAAGAAATTTTTTAAAGGTACATGATTATAAGATGTCCAGGGCAACGGCCCAGCTACGTCAAAACACCGGTTCCCATTAGAACACCGAAGTTAAGCGACGTAAGGCGATACTAGTGAATGGACGGGTGACCGGTTCGAAACTCTGTATCGTACTGTTGTCCAAAAAAGGCAAATGTGTAAAATCTATTGACACACACTGCTCATTCACGCCGGTTCGAGGCCGGATGAGATCGGATATCTCGTGAGTAAGAGTCGATTTAGACACTTGCCAAGTCGGTAGGCCATTGACCATGATATGGCCGAGGACCGCGGTTCGGATTCCGCGTAAACAAAGTAGGCCCCGTCCAGATTAGCCCTGGCAGCAAACAGGAGACGTTAACTGAAATTTTTACTTTACTTTTATAAGATGTTCATAAAACATTTAATCACTAGTGGATTAAAAAAAAGTTGTTGCAATTTCAGTTGATTTTCAACAACTTTTTGTGCACTTGTGCATTTTATCTTATTGTAGTCGTTATAAAAACACGTGATTTCCTAACAAAATGAAAAACAAAATTACGTGCATAAAGCTTTATATTATTATATTTTAAAGTAAATATATCTAAATTACATAAATTTGTACAACATTAAAAGATCAGTGCAATTTTTAAAATAAGAAAAAATACTTCGCAGTCTTCTTGGTTAGTTTTTGCGGAGGGTGGTTCTGTCTGGAATGGCAACTTCGTACACGGGTTGGCCGCCTTCTGAGACCCATACACTGCCGTTTTCTCCCTTGGTGATCAGTGTGATCATTCCTTTCGCCACATTCTCAGTCCTAAAATGAAATAAAAACATTTCAATTTTTTTTGCTTCACAATGTACAGGGTGTTTCAAAAAACATGTGCCATCTCTCACGGGGATATTCCTCACGTAAAAATAAGATTTATTTTTCATATCAACATAGGTCCGATTCCGCTTAGTTTCGAAGCTACAGGTGTTAAAAACTTCATTTTTTATTTATTATAATTTTCTTCCAAATGCTTTTAGCGATTGGGATGAAATTTTGAGGGTAAAAGTTATTACGTACGACATATTTTAATGCTAAAAAATTGTCGACATATTCACCCGAGACGTGCGTATGGGTTATCACTGGAATTTTTTCTATAAAAAGCCTGTGAGCCACTGAGTTTTTTTTCTCTTGTTTAGCATAATTGTGTAGACGTTTTAATGACAAAAAAAGTTGTCTCTTGATATTTTGTCGATTTCGGTCTCCTTGATGAGATAAAGGCAATTTTATTAACTTGCCTTAATCCAGGTCTGAGAGCAACCTTTAAATTTTGTTATTGTCATTAATTTGCCAAAGTATTAAATAGGAACTCATTTTATTTTAAACGATATAGAATTAATAAAGGACGGATTTTAGGTGGAATGGAAACCCTCGTAAAATGTTAAACAAAAGTAAAATTAATTGGATTAAAAAGTTGCCGAATAGGCGGAGTGAAATAAAAAGGGTAACAAACTTTTATATATTTTATTCAGTATTCTTCATTGCATGCTGACCTTCCTAATAATGTATTTATGAGTTTTAAATTATATTTTTGATTAATTTCATAGGAATATTACTTGAACAACAATTTATAATATTCATAGCAGGATATATTAACAATATATATATAATATAGCAGGATATTTTAACAAGGCGGATTGATTTTCTAGTGTACAAAGGCAGAGTCCCTATTGAAGTGAAACTTCTTTAAGTGGGATGGAAGTTAAAATTCAAGGCCGCGTCACGCCAAGCGTCACAAAAGTGCTAACGATCTTGGAGCGTCGTAACTCGGGCCCTATGTAAGCTAGGAGGCTGAAACTCGGCATGTTCTTCATCTTTTCATGATATAACAACGTTTGATGCACTATGAAACCCAAATAGATTATAAGACTATATTGCTAGTAAGGAACAGAAATTGAAGCCAAATTTTTGAGACGGAGCTATACAAAATCCACATAAGTCGGTACTTTTCGTTCAACAGCTTTGAACTACGCAAACGTGAGAAGTGCTTCACGATTAGTTGATTTATTTCATACTAACCAATAGAAATAGTTTTCTAAGTTTTTATCTACCACGTAAATCAATTTCGCGTCTGACTATTCGCGCCTTTACTTATAAATTTAAATTTAATCTCTGACATATTAAAACAAAAACAAGAAACGGATAAATATGATGAATATCTAAATTAACAGGTTGAAATAATGACAATACCAATAAAGAATAATATATTATAAGTTATTAATATTTAGAGTGTAAAATAGTGCGCGGGCAGGTGACAGCGTTCAGCGATGAAGTAGACGAATCAGATCGTTTCATTTGGCGCGTGCAAAATCCTGTTGAACCAAAAGGATAGACTTGTGCAGGATTGATAATTCCTATTTATTTTCTTTGGCTTCACTTTCCACTGATCGTGTAAATGCAGAGTTGGCATTATAGTCTTAGAATATATTTGATGAAGTCCCATCATCAATGGCGAAAAAATCGTCCGATTTGAATGAAATTTGGTATGTCGATTGATTGAATCTAGACCAACTTGACTTTGTATAACACGTGTCACTGTAATAGTTAGTTTTGACGTAAGAAACGTCAAAAGTTGATGGCGTTCGATCGCGACCAAATTGTGAGCGACGATGCACATGGTCCCACCCTACAAAGTTGAATACGACGCGACGTTTCGTTTACACCTTCATCAGGGTGGAACTAAGGATTTGATATTGAAGCAAAATGTGGGTCGATTTCGCCATAATTGGGGACGGGCTACAGGATGACGCCCTCGACGTTTCGAACCAATGCCTTTACATGCACGAGATCAACAGGATTTTTCTTAATTATGGATCGATTGGAACTAAACTCGGCATGTGGATAGAGGTACCCGAATGGAGTTCTCAGACGGACGGATGGAAGTAAGAAGAAGTTTCACTTCAAACCAAGACCAAAACTCAATCAAATTGTATCCTCTCTACCAAAGCCAATCAAAATTATTTTTCCATTATTAAACTAAATATACTTACGGTTGTGGCGGTAAAGATCCCAATTCATTGGCCAATAGTTCTCCCAACTTGGGGTATCCCTGCAGCGCAAATTTACTAGCTTCGGAGATCAAAGGGGTATCAGTCACACCAGGACACATGGTGACGAATTTGACACCGGTTAAGTCCCAGTAGTACGGGGTCCCGAAGGATCTGGTCAGTCCAACCACGTAATGCTTCGTACCCACGTAGATTGGGCAGCCGGAGAGTTTTTGCAGGCCCAAAATGGAGGCGATGTTCGCTATCACTCCCCCTTTGCCTCCGTTGTTCTTGCCTAGATACTTTAGGCCGAGCAGGCTGCCTTCAGTAAGGGCACCCTATAAAACGTTTTAGTTATCTTAATGTTAAAATCGCTGTCAAAAAAATGCTTTATTAGTAACTAGTTTCGGCAATTCCAGACATCATCAGACCTTTGTCAAAGACAGTTGTTCGTATGACTTTGACTTTATGTGTTTATGTTGTTCAGCTCCAGAAGAGAGCTGTTCGATATTCACTGGGACTAAACAGCAGAACTCATTGCCGGGACTTTTTTAAAGAATTAAAAATATTGACTCTTCCTTCCTTATTTATATTTGAATCCGTTTGCCTAATACATAAACATGTATCAGCTTCTCAAGAAAGGCCATCTCACACTTATTCATTCAGGAAGGTGGAGCAAGATCTTTATCTAAAGTTATTTTAATTTCCCTATACCTACCCCACGCTCAGAGTTAGTTAAAAGTTCAATATTATACAACTCGAAAAAAATGCACAATCTCCTGCCATTTGAAATCAAATCCATAGCATCATTTTTTTCATTTCGCAAAGCATTGAACTCTTATTTACTAGACAAGGCTTTCTACGCCGTAAATGAATTATATTTTGAAAATCGAATTTGATCTTGTAAACACTGGTCTAATGTTTGCTATTGCTATATTTACTAATGACATCGAAATAAATTTATTTAGAGGTCATTGATATTTTACTATAAACTAACTAAATATTTTTGAATATTATTTTTATTTTTTGTTCTTTGACATTTATAAATGTCTATTTTAAACAATAAGACAGACAATATTATTTGTATAATGTTTTGTATTATCTTTTGTTTGTTTGTTTGTGTACCTTGTTTTTTTACTTTGTTTGTTAGTTTACCTTTGTCTACAAATTGAAATTTTTTTTGACAATAAAGGCATTTATTTATTTATTTATTTATTGTTTATATATTTAGATACGAACGAACAACTGTCTTTGAAGCGGCGGCTACACGACAGGGACTTGCCTGCACGGTATAGTTTGCGCAGTTAAGACGGAATGCCGTTGGGTGGCTACACGTTGCAAGCATGTTTTCGGTTTGCGCAAACCACAGTGTGATTATGGTGTGGTAATAGTCGATAAATTTTGTTGAAGAATTCGCAGCAATGCTAAACGACGAATTTTTTATTTTAAGTGCATTCTTCTACTGTTTGCTACTGAAGAAATATAAAAGAAAACAATATAGATCGAAGTGGAGTAAAAATGGTTTTTGAAAAGGAGGATTTATTAATGTCCTTGGATAACTACGTACCTCGCCCAATATCACTTTTCTTTTATTTTATTTTCACTACTATCACAAAATACTCGACAAAATACTACTATATTTTAGGTTATTTCTGCGTGTTTACAGAACCGAAGGCTGTTATCCCTGTCCACACGCACAAATTATACCGCACAAACCGGTTAGCGCAAACCAAAACTTTCAGCAAGACGACGAAAGCACAGGCCGCGCTTTTCGGTTTGCACGAGATACAGTTTTCCCGTCCACACACACGGGCTTCCCGATACAAACCAGTTTGCGCAAGTAAGTCTTCGGTAAAGCCTGTGCGTGTAGCCGGCCCTTGACAAAAGCCTGATGAAGGCTGGAATTTCCGAAACCGATCACTAATATAGAATTTTTTTGACAATAGTTTGGACTTTTCTTGATTTTAAGAAAAGCTTCTGCTTGCAATAATATTAATGATATTTGTTTCATATAAAATTAACATCAAATTAATTGGAGACATAAAAAAGTGTTGATCATACTTACAATATTTAAAGCAATTTCCTTCTCATAATCTGCATCCCACATGATTCCAGCATTATTAATAACGATGTCCAAACCATTGAATGTCTTGAATGTCTGTTCGAAAGCAGCTAAAATGCGAAAAATATTTTAGTTGATATACATAAACCTCCTATATCATTCATACAATTATAGGTTTTCTTTTCTTTCTTAACGGTACTATTCAACAAACTATTCGTATTTTTAACGTGTTATAATGAAGTTCAATGTCATAAACTAGTAAATGAAACAAAACAGAAAATTATTTCACTATTCTGTTTTCAAATAAAACATTTTTCTAATTTAAGAAATCGGGAAATAATGTGTCTGTAAATATATTTTCTAATGAGAGCGTATTCTAGGCATACACGAATTAATAGATAAAAGAACTATAGGACACAGACCCTACAGTGAAGACGCGAGCCAAAATGATGGTCTGTGTTTGTTATGAATGTTTTTAGTACTCAGTTTGAATTAAAAGTAAACAAAAGCACCCATTATAAAAAGTTTTGATTACAATTATTTCATTCATCATTGTAGAATAAATATTTATTTCATATCAATTAGACTTTTAGTTACGTAATCGAGGGCGCGATTTTTAAATTCATTGTAGCCAACCATGGACATATTCGGCGCCATGCTGACCAATTGGAATTTAAATTTCGCGGTGGGGATTCAGGTGATAGCCCTGCTGTAAAAAATGTCAAGTAGCCGCATTTATTTATTTATTTACCGACATTGTCAATCGTTTTGACACTTTAGTTTTGTATTACGAGTTTTTGGTTTAAATTAATTGTGTTGTGATACTTTAAGCTTAAAATGTTTACTAGCAGACGCTTAATTATGCGACTAAAAGTTTTATATTTGATAAATACATAAAAAATATCTAATTATTAAACTAATAAACTAAAAAAATAAATAATTAAACTAAAAATAACAATATCTAATTATTTATTGCTTCATTACTTTGAATTGGAAATATTTAAAGAAAGGTTTTGCGTATTTTATCTGTCCATATTAATTTGGCATTTTATCAAAACACGTGGAAGATCCATACTTCGTATCGTATTTTGTAGTAGGTTTATTAATTCTAAAAATAATTTTTTCTATAAAATATGTATGTGAATTCTAAGAATTTCGATTATTTGTTATTTATCTGACGATAACTCAAGATAGAAATGTCTATATTTATGCATTTAACACAGAATGGAAGGCAAAACAACAACAACAACACAAAATTCTAAAGAAACCTACAGAAGATTGTGCAAGAAGATCCAGGAACAATGCAGACAAGATAAAAATAATTACGTAAGGAAAATCTGCGGTGAAATTGAAGAACACCAAAATTCAAACCAAACACGAGATTTATACAAGAAAGTAAGGGAACTCACTCGGAAATTCAAACCTAAAACAACTGCTATCGAGGACGAAAATGGAGAAGTATTGTGGAACAACGAGGACATATTGCAACGATGGAAGCAATATTGCGAAGAACCATACAAGGACGAAGTAGACGTAGTAAACGAAGTTCAAGTACCTCACATAATAAACGAACTGGAACCAAATATATTGAAGAGCGAAGTGGAAGAGGCCATAACTCACCTCAAATTAAACAAAACCCCAGGAACAGACGGTGTCTCAGCTGAAATGATAAAGTTGATAAGGGAGGAAAGTGTGAAAATAGTACATAACATCTGCAATAAAGTATGGCAGTCTCGACAATGGCCTAAAGATTGGACTTATTCTGCTTTCATCCCAATTCACAAAAAAGGATCCACACAAAAATGCCAGAATTATCGAACAATATCTCTAACGTCTCATGCAAGCAAGATCTTACTTAGGATAATTGACTGAAGACTTCAGAGGTACTTGACGCCTGAAATACCTCCTGAACAAGCCGGATTCGTGAAAGGAAGAGGCACAAGAGATCAAATAGTTAACATACGTCAACTCATAGAGAAATCCCGAGAAATTAATTCGCCTATGTTCTTGTGTTTTATAGACTACAAGAAGGCTTTCGATTGTGTGAGGTGGACCTATGGAGGGTTCTGAGCGAAATGGGAGTTCCAAATCATCTAGTGGCTCTTATTAACAATTTATATGACAGTAATACGGCAATTGTCAACCTAGATAACAAAACGTCGGAACCTTTCAAACCTAGAAAAGGGGTACGCCAGGGCTGTATACTGTCACCCAGATTGTTTAATGCCTATAGTGAATACATCATGAGACGTGCTTTGAAGGGTGAGGAAGGAGGAATCCTAGTCAACGGTAAAATCCTAAACAACCTCAGGTACGCGGACGATACCACCCTGATAGCGAAAAGTGAGGAAGAAATGGTCCGGTTGCTGGAAAGAGTTACCATCGAAAGCAATAATCTTGGTCTAGAAATAAACACTGATAAAACCAAACTCATGCTGATTGATAGAAGTGGTGCAGTTCGATTACACAACCTCCTCCCTAATATAGAAAGAGTAGATCAATTTATATACTTAGGGTCTTTAATAACAAATAATGGGGGCTGTGAAGCAGAGATAAGAAGGCGTATAGCTATGGCACGGACGGCTATGATGAGCCTAAGAAAAATATGGACAGATAGGAGCATTACTCAAAACACCAAAAAAAAACTTGTTCGATCTTTGGTCTTCTCCATATTCCTATACGGGTCTGAGTCATGGACCGTCAAGAGCGCTGATAGACACCGTATAGATGCATTTGAAATGTGGTGCTGGAGGAGAATGCTCCGTATCCCATGGACAGCTCGAAGAACGAACTAGTCAATTCTTAATGAACTCGGCATGACAGATCGATTATCCACCATCTGCCGTAGACGCATCCTGCAATACTTTGGTCATATCACTCGCAGAGGTGAAGACAACCTTGAAAAAATCATAGTACAAGGCAAAGTAGAAGGTCGAAGACCCAGAGGACAATCACCATCGAGATGACTTGACCAAATAGCAAATATTACAGGTCATCCATTTCAATCAAATCTCCGAGAGGCGGAAGATCGCCAACGATGGAAGATCAAAATCACCAACTGCACATAGCCATAATGTCACGATTCTTCAGAAATGAAGAGACGACGAAGAAGAAGAAGGAAGGCATGAGATGCTAAAAATACGAAATGCAGTACGAAAATTCTCATGTTCATTCATTCATTGTGCCTCGATCCTCTTCGCCTTTAACTACCTGACTTGTGAGTCTGGCGAGGCATTCGTGGTTGCAAATGACACCTAGATGTGTATTGTCTATGAAATTGTAGTATTATTTATGATGTAACAAATTTTCAAATCTGGAAAAATATGAGCGAAAATTTTGTAATTCTTGCAATTTTCAAATCATTTCATTCATTTCCCAATTTCGTAAATCATCCAGACTTGCATTTGATTGTAGTTTATGATAGTATCAAATAATACGTTAAATTTCAAGCCTGGGAAAATAAGGGTTGTGTATTTCAAAAATCTGTCAAATTTTTGCATCCGCGAATATGCAACCTGACGGGCTTTCCACCACTTGGAATATGCCAGACTGTTTTCCATTTACTAAATGATTCACTTTAATAAATGCCAAATATAGGGTATTTGGCATTTACGATCGAAAAAAATGGCGTCCAGTTGACTTGGAAATGACGATCGATGACATTTCCCATATAATTTTACATATATAAAATGAGAGCGATCTTCATTTCACAGCCATCGCTGACGCCATTTTTATTCGATCATACGGTACTTAAGACTCGGAAAATAAGTGGACTTTTTTTATTTTATTTCGAAACCCATCTAAATATTTTAGCTAGACGCACAAATTGTTATTCTTCGGCAGCATATTCTGCAGATTAAAATAAGTGAAAAAGTTCATATAAATGTATGTCCTAAAATGGCTTAGTTTGGGAGATACAGGGTGTAGAAATTTCATTTTTATTTCGATTTTTTCCAAATAATTTATGAGGTAACGTCAATATTTGGATTAAAATTGGTGTCTGGGAGTTTTTTGACATGAGAAATTTGATTTTCATGTCAATATGGCTCCTACTTGTAGAGGGCGCCACCTACATATGTTTTAATTGGTTTGAAGAGTAAAAAAAATATACATTTACAACTTTTTTTATATAAAAAAGGTCTCTTTATAAAAATCGCTACGAGTAATGGTTCTCGAGATATTTGGAAGTGAAATTATCAATACCTGTCATCATTGACATAAATTAAACATGTTGACTAATTAGTTATTAGACTGAAATCATAAATTTGAAATGTTCTTGTGCCAAAAGTTCAACAGAAACTGTTTCATCATCATTTTTGCAGAAAAATTTATGATTAATTTAAATAAATAAAAATAATTTACTAAATTTATTATTTCAGTGAAATTACTATCTACTCAACGTTGTTTATTTTACGTCAATAATGACATGTATTGTCTATTTCAATTCTAAATATCTTAAGAACGATTGCTCGTAGCGATTTTTACAAAGAGATATTTTTTACGTAATAAGTCACAGAGACGTATATTTTTTTACTCGGTAGTTTTATACAGGTACTGACAAAAAGTTATTACGCTTCAAAACAGTTAAAACACATGTAGGTGGCGCCCTCTACTAGTAGGAGTCATATTGACACCAAAATCAAATTTCTCATGTCAAAAAACTCCCAGAAACCAATTTTCATCCAAATACAGACGTTACTTCAGAAATTATTTCGAAAAACTCGAAATAAAAATTAAACTTCTACACCCTGTATCTCTGAAAGTAAGAATTTTAGGACATACATGTATACGAACTTTTTTACTTATTTTTATCTGCAGAATATACTGCCGAAGTTTCCAGAATACAGTTCGGACCACCCTGTATATTCACCCACTGGGAAAATAAGTACAAAAAACTAAGTCACTGCCTCTTGGACTATTAGGGTACGAACATAGTGGAGGCAGGTTTCTGCTTTCCGGCAACCAGCGCCGTCTCTGGGGACCTATTCTTGACCACTCGCATCTTCAAATATCGCTCGCATCTCGCATCTCCTAAAAAGCCATATAACAATACACAGATGCGTAACTTTACGTATATGCATCACGTGTATTGTATATGGCTATTTCGGAGATGCGAGAAGGATTCGGAAGTAGATAATTAAAAGGAAATTTACCTGATTAACTAACCTAACCTAACCAAACCATATTCAAACGCCGCGCCCGCCTCGCCGGGGCCGCACATAGGTGTATTTGGTCTATAAACCTGGCCAAAAGCGATATTTTTTTATTTTCATTTTTTATCTTAACTGAACACAAATCTATAAATACTAAATGTAAGCACGTTTATTAGTTATTAGTTTTTTTAAGTCGTAAGTTGACTATCAAATAAATAATATATTTCAGTTAAAAGTATGAATTAACTTGAGTGTATTCTGAATATTTCTAAGATTATAAAAATAGTGGAATTGTTTGTAGTGCTTTTTTTGCAAATTGTTCATAATAACTGTCATGATGGAAACAGAGCCAGCTTTGTTTGTTGGCTCTGTTCTGTTTTATGCCATATTTTTATTTTGAAACGTTTCCTTCTATTTTTTTATAATGTTTTATATTTAAAAAATCAGTGGCATTTTTATAAGGTGTAAGACTATTCGGCAATATTCCGCATGGAAATTAGTATCCGTTCAATGCTTAAAGTCTCCAGCATTGGAATATGCACAAAAATCTTGCCAATATTTGCCACTGCCAAAAAAAACATTGATTTAAATAGATTCTTAAAGGAAATAGTCTTTACCCTATTAACACCCATCCTCGCTCAAATATCGTCTATAATATACAAATTACTTTCTTGTTCTAGCATCCTCATCCAATTGCTTGGTTTTGCACAGAATGGCCCTATTTGATCGGTGGAAAGGGTTTCAGAGTAGAGGAAAAAATATTGTGTAGGAAAAACAAAATGGGGTTCCATATTAGCAACCTCTCCTCTAATTAATAATTAATATTACTAGCAAAAAAGCAAAAAAATCATAAAACATAATTTTGGCCAACTTTTAGTTCTTAATACCCCCTGTGCGCCGTCGGCGCGTGCAAAAGCAGAAATAAATAAATTTTCGTTCCGGTAAAAGCGAGAACGCCGATGAACGCTGGTTGACGGTGCCTGCCTGCTTTCACTGTGAACTAGCCGATTTGATAACACGCTTTAATTTTTCAAGGTTATAAGCGCGAGGCGGCGCGGCGCGGCGCTACTATGTAACCATATACAGGGTGTCCCAGAAATAAGTGCAAGTATTTTAACTTAACTGGTAGTATAGTTCACCCCAGAAACACGCCTATGAGTTTTTTTTTTTTCTAAATAATTTTTTTTTGAAAATTCGGAATCTTTTGAAAATATTTTTGGAATTTTTTTACATTTTTTTTTAGTTTTTATTTAAAAAAAAATAGTTTCTTGATAATATGGCAACATAGGTAGTAGATTAAATTTACAAGAAAGAAAATCCAGAAAAGATCCAGTGGTTCTCAAACAAATCTCGAAGTATTGGAAAGAATGTGTAAGGACTAAGAACTATTGACTGTAATAAAACGACGGAAAGCAGCATATTTTGGTCATATTTTTCGAAATAACAAATGTAGTTTCCTACAGCTGATCGTTGAGGGAAAGATTGAAGGACGACGAGGCATCGGGCGTAAACGGTTTTCCTGGTTGCGGAATTTGCGCCAGTGGTTTAATATAGGAGAGGCCAGTGCAATTATCCGTTTGGCTCAAGAGAGGGAGGAATTCCAATTGATGGTCGCCAACCTCCGATGAGGAGAAGGCACATGAAGAAGAAGGTTCTTAAAATTTTAGCAAAAATATTTTTTGGAAATTTTCAAAGTAAAATAACTCATTATTTTGGACTTATTTGAAAAACGATAAAGAGAAAATATGTTTCTTTTATCGAGATCTACCACCCTTTAAAATACTTGCACTTATTTCTGGGATACCCTGTTTATAACAATACACGTGATGCGTATACGCAAAGTTGCGAACGATGTCAAGAATAGGTGCCCAGATTGGCGCTGACTACCAGTAAGCGGCAAACCTGCTTGCACTGTGTTCGCAGACTTAGTCTAGTTGTCACAAACCTGCTAATTTAGTCTTGTCGATGACATTGGTTTCAATGAAAATAGCGGTACCATCTCCGTACTGTTTGTTGATTTGACTAGCGACTTCGGATCCTGCCTTGTTGATATCCACGATGGAAACGTTCTAAAAATAAAAAGACAGTGACATTTTTTTTAATTTGGAATGTGATAACGTTTGTCATATCTCTAACTAACAAGATGAAAAGTATTTTATGTATTAGACGATAAAGATTGAAGATTAATAATCGTTTTAACGGTCTTGGTAAACAGTGTGAAATATTGGCGAACGGGATGTAAATAACCGTTCGTCGAGGCGATTGGAGAATAGACGGCTCGTGTCGTCCTTGACAGAGATGTTTTGTTTTTATTTACATACATATTACATTAAGTTGAACATATTTGTTTACTATTATAGGTATTCTTTTAACAATCTGAAATTCGCTTTTTACTTAAAGATATGATTACAGTGTGGTTATAAGTATAATATATGTATAAAGTATTATACAATCAGTTGTATTACAATATTTGTTACTGGGTCGCCAATACAGTCCGGCAATAATACGTTGGGTCTTTGTAGCTCCTATAATAAACACCTTAGAAATTTTGTATAATTGCAAACCTAAAATATGTAACGTATAAAATATATAGTTTTTCACATTTCATCGAGGTTTAAACATTTTTTTGCCTGTCCTCTTTTTTACACTTGAGTCCTCTATTTTTAATTTTGAAAGTTAGCAACGCTGCAGTGTTTACAAAAAATAACTGTTTTATGTTGAAGATTTTCTTAGAGTGCACATGGCAAAATGTCCAGAGAATTTATCATCACAGAATTATCCTATTGATTAAAAATAAGTGATAAATCTCTGGCTCGTGGGGTCTGAGTAATCATGAGAACACCACTTTAATTAATAATAATAATACACAAATCAGTTTATTACAGAGAGAAGAGAGAATTATGATAAAACATAAATTGTTTTTACTACCAGCTGTGATTGTTTTGATTTAGATTAGAATATATTAAGTAATATATATTTGCATTTTAATGTTATAAATATCAGGTAATAATATGTAAGTAAACAATAATATTACTTTATTAAATAATATTGCATGAAGAAAAAATCAAAATACTTTTACTAAAAAGCATAAGAATGACAGGAAAATCCAGAAAAATATAAAAATTTTTTTTTCCAAACGTCACAAAAGTAATATTTTTTGCGTCATGATTGACAATATAAAAACGTCATTTTAACGCCTAGGCATAAAAGTGAAGCACTTTTACGCCTAAGCAAAAAAGTACGAAAATATATTATTAAACTGACATAAAGTGTCAAATTCAACGAACCGCTAACTATAGTTACTGGGTATATAATTACTTAAACAATTTCAAACGTTCCAAATAATATAAAAATATTTAAAAGTAATAGCTTGTAAGTAATTATACAGTATGTCCCCGGATTGTCTTTATAAGTAGAAAAACTTTTTATTATTGATATTTTCAGAAAAATGCATATTTCTTAAAAAAATTTGCTTGTTCTAAAATGGTTAATCCTGTTTATACTTTTCCAAATTTCCATGCCGTTTTAGAGAAAATTAAGAAAAACATGAAAATATGGTTGAAGTCCTAAAAATCAAAAATCATTTCTATAGTAATATTAATTCAATTTCATTCTTTGATATATTGTTATTCATAGAATTTTAATTAACGTAATGTCCATTGTTATTTTAAAATGTTAAAGAAGCACAAAATTTATTTAGTTCAATTCTAGGGAAAGGGTGATGATAGTTATCGGAAAATATGATACTTTAACAACAGCGCGCAAAGAATATGACATTAATCAAAATTCACAATAACCATCTATCAAAGAATAAAATCCAATTGATATTACCATAGTTAATATTTCCAATTACTTAGGAAAGTCAATCATATTTTCATGTTTTTCTTATTTTTCTCTAAAATGGCATGGGAATTTGAAAAAGTATAAACGGGATTAACCCAAGAACAGTTAACCTAATAGGACTGTTCATTCAGCCAAAAGTGTCCGCCAGGTTCATGCGAAAACTACTCGCTTTGTGACGTCATTGTAGTCCTTGTCATGGTTATTAGTCCTTATCCGGCAACCAATAATACACACACGTGCATTATTGGTTGCCGATCGCAAAACGTTCATTATTTAGTTTATTTATTTAAACACCTTATATGTATGCAGTATAGAAAATTAACTGTATAAATCGTATTAAATACTCGGATAATGCATTTTTAAGAACAGCAGTTCCCAACATCACCTTTTGCAAGCATTCTTTTTAGAGTACTTCCATATTTTGCTTTAAAATAATTAATAAACAATATCGTAGGTACTTAGTAAGCACTTTGTCACAATCCACAACACAAAATGAACGTATTTATACACTCTATAGCTCTAAAAACTTTAAAGACACCTTTTTCACATTTAAAATTGACAAAATAATGAACTCAAAATTTCTTAGCTGTTATTTTTATAAGTTTTCACCATACGCAACTAATAATACACACTATCATGACAAGGACTACAATGACGTCACAACTGTCAGCTGAAACGCGGGAAGAGGCGAACGTACGTCTTATGCGGATGAGCAATCCTATTAGTTTACCGTTCTTGGGATTAACCATTTTAAAACAAGCAAAAATTTTTATGAAGGATGCATTTTTCCCAAAATGTCAATAATAAAAAAGTTTTTCCTCTTGTAAAGACAATCAGGAGACACACTGTATATATCCAGTAACTATGATTACACTCGTTGCATTTGAAACTTTATATCAGTTTAATAATATATTTTCGTACTTTTGTGCTTAGGCGTAAAAGTGCTTTACTTTTGTGCCTAGGCGTTGAAATCACTTTTTTATACAGGGCGAGTCTTAAATTAGTGCAAATATTTTCAGGGCTGGTAGGTATCGACAGAAGAAACATATTTTCTCTTTACCGTTTTTTAAATAGGTCCAAAATAACCAAGATATTTTACTTTGAAAATTTCCAAAAAAAATGATTTTTTTCTTAAATTTAGAGAACCACTTGATCTTCTTTGAGTTTTCTTACTTATAAATTTAATCTGCTATCTATGTTGCCATATTATGAATATATTATGTTTTTGTTATTGTTTAACTAAAATTTTAAAAAGTTTCCAAAATTTTATTAAAAAAATTCCAAATTTTCAAAAAAAAATCGCGAAAAAATCTCATACACGTGTTTCTGGGGTCGAAATATACTACTCCTTAATATATTTGTACTTATTTAAGACACACCCTGTACTGTCAACCATGTCGCAAAAATCAATAGTCTTGCGACGCCGACGCGCGACGTTGGAAAAAATATTTAGGTACCTATACAGGGTGAGTCTTAAATAAGTGCGGATATTTTCAGGGCTGGTAGATCGCGATAAAAGAAACATATTTTGATTGAAATAAGTCCAAAATAACTGAAGTTTCTTACTTTGAAAAATTCCAAAAAAAAAATATTTTTTTGTTTAAATTTTGAGAACCGCTCGATCTTTTGTTGTTTTTTTTTACGTAAATTTATTCTGCTATCTATGTTGCCATGTTATGAATGTATTATGATTTTTAACTAAAGTTTTAAAAACTTCCAAATTTTTTTAAAAAAATTCGAACTTTCCAAAAAAATGTTCTGGAAAAAAATGTCATAGGCGTGTTTTTGGGGTCGAAATATACTACCTCTTAAAATATGTATTTGCACTTATTTAAGACTCACCCTGTATTGTCAATGGCGTCGCAAAAAATAATAGTCTTGTGACGTTGGAAAAAAAATACTTAGGTACCTATATTTTTGTTCATACCTATGTTAAATATTAAAATAATAGAAACTAGTTTGATATAATAACTAAAATGTTAGTAGCCGTTTCGTTTTGTGATCGTTTAAAATCGTTTATTATTTACAATTATGTATTCAGACCAAAAAAAAATAATTACCTTAAGTCCATTTTTCAACAATTCCCATACGTATGCCAGACCAATACCGTTTGCTCCACCGGTAACCAGAGCTATTTTTCCCTTGATATCGTACGCTGCCATCGTTTATGTTCTTGCTATTATCGAATCACTTACTTAACTTGACTCGAAATCAGCAACAACTAAGTAAGCCGGTCGCAGAACAGTTATTTTATATTTTTAAACGCACCGCGTTGTCAAAGTTTATCGCGGGCAGGTCAAACATCGGGTTTTCCGAGCGATATGACAACGTCGGTGCTGTTGGCGGTAGGTAGATAAGTAGGCATATGTGGTGGATAGTAAGGAGAAGATGGAATTTTTTCTTTAAATGCTTGTTTGTTTCTTGTTAAAAAAATATGTTAAAATGTAATTATCAAGTGATAACTGTGTTGTTTTTTTTAATTTGAAACAGTTTATCATTTTTTGTTTATATTTATTCAATGTCCAGTGGATTAAATGTCTATTTATAACAAATGAATTTGGGAACTACGGCAAAAAATTTATGTTAAGATTCTTCGAAATGTGTATTAACCTTTAACCTATGCTAACTTGCGGTCTAGCATACAGCTATTGTCTTTTTTATGTATAAGAAATTATAAACAAAAACAATTCCTTTTATCAGGAGAATTTATTAATAAATAATTTAAAGAGTAAGAAAAATACTTAAATATATTAAAATAAACACTAAAATATCGTAACAAATATCTTTTGAATAAGGGAATGTAAACTTATTATCTATATCTGGTACACAGTCAATACCGGGTGCGTCTCAAAAGTGGCTCACCCCTATAACTTTTTTATTTTTCTAGTTAAAAAAATGAAATTGGATATGTTAGTATATGACATAAATTAGGATTGATTCACGTATTCAATTGTTTTCGGTCACTTCCGGTTTCACTGGAAATGACTACAACTTTTGCTTTTTAAATGGCACCCCCGGGATTTTTTTACTTTATTCGATAGAAAATGTCACTCTGAATAGAATGACACATCACATGTCCAGTTTTGACATTTTCGCATATGGTTTGTTTGAAATTATAACTTGTGGTCGCTTGCGGTTCATAACAAAAATTTGACTAGAAATAACAAGTGTGTGGTATCAAATTATTCGTAAAAAATGCTTTTTCCAAATATGCTAATGAGCCACCCTCGTTCCATTTGAAAAAATTGAGTTATGATTAAAAATACGATTTGAGAATTTTCTAACTGGCCAGGACAAGCCACTCAAAACATTAGACGATCAAATCTATGTTTCCAAGGCTCCTTGATGAAGAATTAGTGTTTTTAACATAGCCATGCCACTCTAGATTGAATTTTAAAATACAATTTTTTATTAAGCGGGAATGTCAAAAGTTGACATAATATGATATGTCATTCTATTCAGAATGTCATTTTTTATCGAATAAAGTAAAAAGATACCGAGGGTGCCATTTAAAAATCAAAAGTTGTAGTCATTTCCGGTAAAACAGGAAGTGAACAAAAACAATTGAATACACCAATCAATCCTAATTTATGTCATATACTAACATACCAAATCTCGTTTTTTTATCTGAAAAAATAAAAAAGTTATAGGGGTGAGCCACTTTTAAGACGCACCCGGTATACACTCACCGGCTCGAAAAACAGGCACCTTAAAATTTTCATGTATTTTAAAGTTATATTGTGTTCTAGTTAACCGACTTTAATGATCTTTTAAGCAATTTGTAGATTGTTTGACTTTCTAGTGTCTCTTTCTAAATCAAAAATGAAAGTTACCATCTGTCAATTATACGAGGGAAAACAAAATATTGATATTTGAAAGTTTGAGACACCCTGTGGGGTACGTTAACAAAGCAATGAATTTAAATATTAATTTATCATCTCGGTGTATCTTTTCTCAACAGTTTGTTTAATAGCTTTATTATTTTTTCGCTTTTGAAGAAGACACTAACATGTTTTCGTATTTTTTACATTAAAACCATGCCTTTGCTGTTGGTCCTAGTCAACAGACATATAATAGCGGTTATTATTTTTGTAATGCCACTATACTAACCTTAGATACTAACCACCTAACCTAACACTATTTTATAAGTGTGAGAACACAAAATCAATGCTGAAATTGCGTTAAAATCGTTACTGTCTTTTTGAAAAGGGAATATCTCCAAAAAAATAAAGCTTTTTAAGATGAATCAAAAAACAAACTGTCGAAAAATTGCTTACCTAGACTATAAAATGATTTTCAAATTTCTTGCTTTGTTAAGATATTCCACAGGGTGTTCCAAACTTTCACCAATATATCAACATTTTGTTTTCCCTCGTATAATTGATAGAAGAAACTTTCATTTTTAATTTAGAAAAAGGTAATAAAAGGTAAAATAATTTAGCTACAAATTGCATCAAAATCGGCCCACATACTGGAACAAAATATATTAAACTTTAAAATACATCAAAATTTTCCAGTTGCCCGTTTTTCGTACCGATGCCGGTGAGTGTAAATTTTTTAGAACTTGTGTTAACGAATTTTGTATTAATAAATAATTCATAAGCTTCAAATCACTTGTGAAGAAGTTGTTAATTAGTAGGTTTAACCACTAGACACCTTAAAGTTATTTATTTAGAAGACCATCCTAAATATATAATTTTTATTTCAGATTTTACTGGGACTTGTGCATGCTGCTATTGCTGGTGGCCAACTTGATCATCCTACCAGTGGCCATCAGTTTTTTCAACGACGATCTCAGTACGCGCTGGATCGCCTTCAATTGTCTGTCGGACACTATTTTTCTTATCGATATCGTTGTCAATTTTCGAACAGGTGAGTCTAAAATGCCTTCAGATTTTTTTTATACTTTTTATATACAGGGTGGTCAGAACTGTATCCCGGAAACTTTCCCAGCATATTCTGCAGACAAAAATAAGTAAATATGTTCTATACATGTATGTCCTAAAATGCTTAGTTTCGAAGATACAGGATGTAGGTATACAATAGCTTATGATGCTAACATGGTTAGCGAAACGCGCGTCCAGTGTAAAAGTAAAAGTGTTTTGGTGTATTGTTGTGATTTAGTGTAATTTCATAATTTTTTCTTCAAAAAAAATGACGACAAAACAGTTTCTGTTGAACTTTTGGTACAAAAACATTTAAAATTTATGATTTCATTCATCTTATGATTCATATACGATTTTTTTACTTAATTTTATCTGCAGAATATGCTGCCGAAGTTTCCGGAATACAGTTTGGACCACCCTGTATATTAAGTAGTTTGCACGAAATTTATACTAAGGGCTGGCAAAGGTCAGTCTTGGGTCGAAATTTCCGCATGTAAGAACAGTACAATGCGTGTATAATGTACTGAACAAAGAGGGAACGGTAAACACGTTGCCAAACGTATGAAATGAATCGAGAAACTGTGCACATTGCTAAGAGACGTGGAAGGGGATATAGCAGATTTGTCGCAGTTGACCGGTCGACCCAATCCACAGACCCAATCAGTACTTAAAGTTCTAAAGTCTGATAGGGAGAGGTGTACAGGGTGTCCCATTTTGGTTGAAATCATATGGTATCTCCGTTATTAGTGAAGATAGAAGAGTGCGGTTTGCACAAACCTGTGCCACTTTTTTGTCAAAATGTTAGATGCCGTAAACAAAATTTTCATAGCTCTCTTTCATGAGCTCAGGGTCTTTTTGAAAATTTTGCAATTTGGGACATCTCCTGTATCTCTGTTACTGTTAAATCTATCGAGAAGGTGAAAACTGTTTATTGTAAAACTTTTTACGTAGAATACAGCGACGTAGTCTGTTGTTCTACGAAAAGAATATTTTTAAAGATATGAACTAAAGTTATGTGTTCTTAAATGGAAGACCCTGTATATTTATGAAATAAATGATCGGACTTGCCATAAGCTTCTCAAAAATATATAACACTCTATATTATATTTATTTTCATTATTTAATGCAATATTTAAAAAAATATATTAAAAGATCATATTTATTAGTAGGCCATGATTGATAATAAAAGAAACTAAAGAATTATTAAAAGTAATATTGCTATCTGTCTCTTGTTTTATTTTGAGAGCCACTAATTAATTCTTTGTATATTAGGGAAACTTAAATCTCTACCGCTATTTGTAAATCTTGGAAGCTATCTTATTGGAACTTTTAAATATCCCTTTAGCTAATTTACGTGAAAAATAGTTTCAGCAAGATGGGGCTCCCCCTCACAACTTAACTTACAACGAAAATATTAGAATTTTGCTAAATTATTATTTCTCAAATCAATGAATTGGAACCAATATGATGACCTCCCTGATTCCCGGATTTGTCCGTTCTCGATTTCTGATTTTAGGGATTTTTGAAATATGAAATATATCGTGGCAACTAATACAATGTCGAACACCTGGAAAATGCTTTAACAATGTAAGCTTTTAGATATTTGCAAACCCATCCCCATTATAATAAATTCCGTTATAAAAAAGAGAAAAATATATTTAGAGGTTCAGTGGTAACAATTCAAAAGTAAAATATATCAATCCCAAATAAAATTTTAATATGTGTATGTCTATTTTAGTAAATACCATTTTGATTTTGTTATTTATCACGGCCTACTAATAAGAAAATGATATATTTTAAATATTGCAGTAAATATTGAAAATAAATATAAAGTGATAAATATATAATATATATATATATATATATATATATATATATATATATATATATATATATATATATATATATATATATATATATATATATATATATATATATATATATATTTGATATATTTGAAGCTCATAGCAAAGCGGATGATATGATTTATAAATATACAGGGTGTTCCATTTGAAAAAACCTAACTTTAGTTCATATTTTCAAAAATATTTTTTTCGTAGGAAAACAGACTACGCCACTGTATTCTACGTAAAAAGTTCTACAAGAATCAGTTTTTATTTTCTCGATATCATCTATAATAACGCAGATACGGGGGCTGTCACAAATTGCAAAATTTTCGAAAAGACCCTGTATCTCAGAAACGAAGAGAGCTATGAAAATTTTGTTAACAGCATCTTTCGTTTGACAAAAAAGTGGCACAGGTTTGTGCAAACCGCACCCTTCTATCTTCACAAATAACGGAGATACCGTATGATTTCAACCAAAATGGGACACCCTGTACATCATGCGTTCAGCTTCAGGATTTAATTACGTCTAGTGATACTTTATTTGTTTATTTATTAAAGGGTGGTTGTAATTTTCCCTATAGCTTGAAAATTTTTAAATGCAAGCTAGAAACACTTGCATTTTTGGTAAAAATAAGTGGAATTGAGTTGGTTTTCGACAGTGGTCGGGTTATTAGAACTCTGAATTCAAAAATCGATATCTCGAAATCTATTAGAAATAATTGATTGTAGTTTTTTCAAAAACTTTCTTAATATTTATGCTGTATTTTCTTCGTAGACAGTATGTGAAAATCTTTATCAATAAAAAAATTACACGACTGCTGAAAATTGCTATGCTCTAAAAGCATAGCAATTCAAACCAAACAACCCATCTATTTAGGGTTGTTTGGTTTGAATGGAAAAAAAATAACCTTATCGAATTTTTCTTTCCATTTCAGATGCTCAGAAACATTTCTAGTTATCTTTTCGATAAAAAGTCTTTTAAAAATAAGCGGTTTGCGATCGTGATTTTACTTCACTTGATAGGGAAGGCGTACCGGCAACGCCGCAACAGCACTCTTTCGCATTTCTCTCACTCCGACTTAATAAGATACCTATGCGATTTACTTCCACACATGTAAATACGGACCCAAGAGTAACAGTTGCCAGCACGGTATACATGCATGTCTAGTAATAAAAATGATAATTTTGAAGTTACAAAAAATAAATATGTATACTTTGAAAAAAAGTTATATCCTTACTACAGGAACATTTATAATTTCCAGGAACGCCCGTTATTTGACATAATTTATACACTTATACAAATTATACACTTTAATTTGACAAGAGCTTTACAAGTGTCAAAAATCTCAAGTCGAGTACATACGCATCTGCGTTCGTGCGTCGTTCATCGTTCCGTCACTCCAACTATATTGAAATATGATCTGTCAAAGTTAAAGCTCTCTTGATCATACAACCCTTTGATCCTAGAAAATACATTTTTCTAAGAACAATCTATAATTGAGACGTAAACACACATCAATAAATTACACAAGTATACACGGTTTTGGACCTGAGCAACTAAAAGCAATTTCTAAGATATCATCATATCTTCGTCCCAAAATCCTTGGTACCGCCTTTCGATTTTCGCTATATCTTGGTGTAGCCGCTCTTCTTGCTGGTCGCTCGTGTCGCCCAAGTTTTGTGGAAAAAAATCAAGATGTGAATGCAGAAAATATCTCTTGAGAGACATTCGAGCTCCAATCTTGTGGTAGTTTTGCAACAAATTGTTGATCACTTGCTTGTAATACGGTGATTTATGATTACCGAGAAAGTTGTGAACAACACCTTGAAACGATGCCCATGCTGCTGCCTCATCAAGCGTTAAACATTTTGTAAACCTTGCGTCAGCCATTAGTTTTCGAATATCATGTCCGAAAAATATTCCTTCTTTGATTTTTGCGTATGACAGTTTTGGAAACAACAATCTAGACAAACGGATTGAAGATCTGTGTTCAGGGCATCAAATAACGCTAAGAATCGTTCTCATCTGCTCGGGTCCAAAAGTTGACCCGAATTTGTAAACTTGTGTTATTATTAGCAATGTTCCAAGTGGTAACAAAGACATAATGAGTCATTACAATTATCTATTTTGTTTTCCATTGACAACAGTTGGTAAAAATAAAAAAAATACGCCAAAAAGCAGTAGCAATATATTTTTTTTACGTTAGGTAGGCACAAACAATGCGTGACTAAAGTGATAAATTTATTTTGAAGCTTTTCGGAGAAAAATGATAGACATTACTAGTAGTATTTATGAAATTTTTTGAGGAGGTAATGAAATTTCAGACAATATTAAAAAACCTTAGCTAATAACAATTTGGGGTAATGCATCAAAAATGCTTTTAATCTTGGTAGAAAAAAATATTAGAAATATTGACAACATAATAATATATTTATGATATTTATTTTTAAGGGTTTCTCAAAATTTAAATTTTGTCTTCAATTCCCTTTACAAAATAATGGATAATGTAATTTTCTTATGCGTATATTAACAAATCTAACACACCCATTTAATATTTTTTTTTATCTCTGTATACCTCTACACAAATCTAATCCAATAGGTCATGCATTGGGATATCTATATACCTAAAATACATTTAGATATAAATGTTTTGACAGCGATTCATATTTGCATCTACGTTTAACCAACTGTTCTGATAAAGCATTGTGCAAAAATAATTAAAACGCTTGTTATAGCCACACTTGGCTAATGTAAAGATTCGCATGAATTAAACAAATATTTTTTTCGATGTGATAATAATATATTTAAGTACTCTATTTACTGCTAATCAAAAAGGCACATACAGGTAGAGGATACAAAATAGGGGATTCAATCCCGGACAATTTTATGTTGTCGGGATCCCGGGATTCTTAACCCCGAATCTCGGGATCCCGGGATTCAATCCCGGGATTTCAGTAATAATGTTACCAATGTTACTTTCAAAGAACATTTTATTAAAATTAACGTTAATTAGTTAAAACAAAAACAAAGTCTTTGGAACACAAAAATAAGTAAATATTCTTCTTAAACAACATTAAACAAAAATTAAAAATCTCAAACAAAACAAAAAAGAAACTGGACTGATAATATTATTCCATA